CCCATGTCCGTGTGTGTGTGTGTGTGTGTGTGTGTGTGTGTGTGTGTGTGTGTGTGTGTGTGTGTGTGTGTGTGTGTGTGTGTGTGTGTGTGTGTGTGTCTGTAACGGACCAAACATAATATCTCGCCCGGCTGAAACGCGTTATAGGTACTATACAGCATTCTCTATTGCAAGGTATCTCGCATGTAGCCAACAAAAATCGTATGAGCACAAACAAGTTTGGCTGCCTCAATTGACCGAGGCCAAAGTCACATCAACGCCTCTCGCGCTAAATTTCATCCCGAAAGGTACCGCGTATCGCGTATTTGAATTCTTAGATGACGGCGTATGATAGCTCGAACTCCCGGGCCTTGAGTGTGTAACGGACCATACATAATATTTCACCCGGCTGAAACGCGTTATCGGTACTATACAGCATTCTCTATTGCAAGGTATCTCGCATGTAGCTAACAAAGACCGTATGAGCACAAACAAGTTTAGCTGCCTCCATTCACCGACCTCAAAAGTCACATCAACGCCTCTCGGGCTACATTTAATCTCAAAAGGTACCGCGTATCTCATAATTGAATTCTGAGATGACAGCGTATGATAATTTGAACACCCAGCTTGTGTTACCATTTGCCCGCACGGGCATTCCGAATTGCCACCGGCAGGCCGACAAATTTGCTTACATTTCTCTATGAAATACGCAAGCTGCTCATTTGTACATTTACTTTAGCCAATGCTCGGGGCCTCCGGAGACTTGCGGTGTGCCCCGATGAAGCCCGCGGCTGTGGGGCGGATTGCTGAGGCCGCTGGCTCTTCGGGGATAAACATCACAGACAGAACCGAACTTCACCCAGCTTGCGTTACCAATTTGCCCGCATGGGCATTCCGACTTGCCGTCTGCCGCACTGTCCATGCGGCATGCACCCGGGATGGATGCGATTCGCGTGGAGCCCGCAGGCGGTGCTGACGATTCCGCCGGTGCAAGCTTAGCTCCCACACCATCAGTACTGCTGCAACAAAGCACATCTCCCACCGCGTTGACACTACCCATCAATTGTCACACGTGCCGCGCTAGCTACCGGCCTGTACGGATGCAGGGGGGGCCCGCCCTTTTTCCGGCTTCAAGGAAGCCGACACCCGACTTGTCCTTCTAAGGTTAAGAACAACGCTATAGCTATGGTGAACCAATGGGCACCCATTCCTTCGTCATCATCAGCACGTT